AGTATGAGAAACCACCACCTTAACGTGTATTTCCATTCCCCATTTAATTTTATGACTTTAAGCTCAATTACATTTTATTTAGTTTGTGGTTTTTCTTTTTGAGATCTGGTATTTGTAGCACTGTAAAAAAGATTTTAAAATCTTGGTGTGGTGTGGGTTGGGGTTTTTTTTTTTTTTTGTTACCTCTCCAACTTAACCAGCATCCCAGCAATAATTGGGCAAGAGAAAGTAAAGGAATTACTGCAGGGGTCAGCTTGTCTTACTGAAAATAAAGCAAGTGCATTGCCTGAGTTCACTCTTCTCTTTTAAAATTGGCTTATCACCGCATTTAAAAACAACACAATTTAGCCTGGGGTGTAGAACAATGTTTTTATTAACTTCTAAAGGCTGTGTTTGTGTTCATCTTATAAGTCTGCAGCATGGGAGCATTATTTAAGGCTGTGTTAATGCTGTTACTGAAATCTGAGTTGGATATTTTAATTAAGAGTAGTGCCAAGGTTGTTCTCCTTATACCCCCCTCAATAAGCTGTATAGACATTTATAATTTGTTTCATTTATAAATTGTTTCAGTCTGCATCGTACATTTGAATTCTTCCTTAAATACTAGAACATAGGATAGGTGCAAACCAGTCTTTTTTCCTCGCTATGTCAGTATCCTGGAGGTGTCCTTCTCGTGCGTTACTGTGCAATCCATGCGTAGTTTGGAGATTAATAAATCCCTTCTCCCTTAAAGCAGGTTAAATTGCAAGTAGAATTGCATTAAAATAATGCAATGAACTTAATTGTGGTGTATGCATTCTGTTCATAATGAAGGACACCTTAAGAATGAAGTATTTGTTATCAAATGCAGGTTTGAAAGCTGAGATCTAGAACAGCTTTCTGAAAAACCTGATGCAAGCTGGTTGGTTTTATAGTGCTTACTTTCCTTGTTCTTACTGTCAGAACCATTAGGAAAAGAAGACGAGGTGAAGACTTGGTCACCTTGGTTTTCCTTCTTGAATACAGTATGGAAAGTTAAAAATAGAAAGTGTTTTCCCATTTCTTTCACAGACAGTTCAGTTTCCATAGGAATGTTAAGCAGTGATCATAGGAGCTCATGAGGGGATTTCTCCTGATAAAACAAACTGGAAAACTGATGTGAAAGGTGACTCTTCTTCCTTCACCTGCCCCTGTATGTGTGCATACACACACGTGTGCACACACTTAACTTGCTGCATTTGTGTGGTGAAGGTTTCCTTTGTTGCCAGTTGCATGCTAATGATGAGGAATCCAAGAGCTCTTCCAACTGCTTCAAATGCAGTCACTTTTTTGACACAAAGGTTTGGGGCTATATGGCTGTTTTCCCTGCTTGGAATGCTAATTCAGAGTAGTCCTATGTACCTACACTACATGTTTTATGTATTCTACTCACTTGTGAATTACAGAACTAAGACTCTCAAGACAGATATGATTGTGTAGACTGAACATGAGCAATATATTTACTCTTACAAGCTGATTTGAAAACTCCTATTTTAGATGTGTTTGTTGTTGTTTTTGAAGATGGCAGACTCTAATGTTCCTTTTCACATAAAAAAATGTGAGGAGTAAATGAATTTAGAAAGTGCAACAAGTATTATGTGAAATAGAAGTGGCAATATCTTCTGTGCCATGAAGGTGTACTGTGACAACTGGTTCATCTAAGAAATCTGAGTAATATAATGAGACTATGGGAGAGAAGTGAAGTGACTCAAAGGAAAAATGTTAAGCCAAAAACAGAATACCAGTGAAGAGGTTTTTGCTGAGGAAAAATCTATTCAGCATTGAATTTCAAGCTTTATTTGCATAGTTGTGCTTTCATTGAAATAAAATGAAATGTTGCTTGTATTTACCCTTTTTTTAATCTCTGTTCTCAAAGTCAGGAGTACAGATTTTTGTCCAGCAAAATTAAATTAGTGATGTTACTAATGATAATGTTCAAGTTTTAAATTTCTCAGCTGGACAAACAAAACTACCTTCAGCAACAATAAGTAGCATTAAGGGTGTGTATGGCTCACTTCCTACTTATTATCTTACTCTGAGGGTGGCTGAGCACTGGCACAGGTTGCCCAGGGTGGTTGTGGAGTCTCCAGCCTTGGAGGCACTCAAAAGCTGCCTGGACATGGTCCTAGGCAGCCAACTCCAGTTCGCCCTGCTTGAGTCATGGGAGTTTGGACCCGAAGACCTCCAGAGATCCCTGCCAACCTCAGCTGATGATGATTCTGGGTTTCTCCAATAATTTCCTGTGTATGTGTGTATGTGGGGGATAACTCTGTACCTTTCCTTCCTTACAAATAGCAGGTATTTGGCAGGTACACTAATGTGTGTAAGTATGAACTAATGGGCCTGGATCATTAATGTTTTAATAGGGCACACTCTTATGGGTGCCTAATTGAGATTAAGTATTTACCTATATGCTTTAAGCATCTTAATTCTTTTTTTATCCTAGACTTTCACCAGCTATTCATTAGTGCCTATGACAGAATGTTTCTATCTAGTCATTTCACTGAAGTTCTTCAAAATATTGCTATTTGAATATTTTTAAATGGTCATCAGTTTGTGGATCCTATTGTGTGTTTGTGCAGTGTGCTGTAGAAATTGTTCTGCCCTTGGAGTGAACTTTCAGTTGAGCTTTTCAATGCATACTTTTGAGACTGCCGTGTTGTCGATATATCACATAAGTGCAGAGATGCGTGTAACTAGTGAGAACAGAAGAAGATTCTCAGAAAATTGAAGCAATCAAAGGTTATTCAAACTCACATAGGAACTAAAAAAGGAGGAAGGCTTGTTAGGCAGCTAACTGGCTTTTTCTAGAGTTTTGACCAAAAGGACCATTGCCACAAAGCAGCGGTTACATCAGAGTAGTTGCTGTGGTCATCTCTCTTTTTTTGAGAGAGATTTATGTTGTCCTATTTTTAGCTGTCTTCAGAGAACACTTGCAGTAAAACTGTTATTTACAGATGACTATTTCCATCACAGTGTATTTCTTATTTATCTCTTGATAATTACGGTGCTCCCTCCAACGGAGGAGGATTTGGTGTTTGGGTTGCCATGTAAAAGGAAATATTTTCCACGTTTCCCCAGAAGAGTCTGTTGCTATTGAAACTTGAAGTCAGAGGCTGAGATTTGCGCATGTGTGTCATAGTAGGGAAATCAGGAATCCACTTTCTGTGGCTCAAGCTTTCAGAAATCCAGAAAGTAGCTTTGTATTTTCCTCTGCCTAGGAGAGCAAAGGGAGTCTTCAAGGTTTTTGGAGAGCTTGGAGCAGATCTGTGCGTGCATCCCCGAATGTTTTGGGTTTTCTACTAATCCTGTGACTTTCTTCTTTGTAAAGTAAAGGCTCTGTACTGATGATTGGTACTTAGACTGTAATCTGTTTGTTTCTTGGTAACTTACTGCTCAGGTTCAGAACTTAAGTATTAAACATATGGCTATTTAATCTTCAAGTACGTATATTTGGCTCAGGTGCTCACCTTCAAAATAATTCACGGAAGACTGAAAGTTAGCTTCTGAGCACTACAAAAATAACATTTTAATAACTTCTAACCTCGAAGCCGCTTCTATTATACACAAAATAATTCTAAGAGTAAATCCATATTCTGTCCATGCTGCCTTTATTTTGAAATCTGGTGTTTGAGAGCCTTTATTGAGTTGGACTTTATCTGCCCACTTAAGCCTTAAGGGGAATTTTGTGAATGTCTCTTTTCGTCTGTTTTTTCTTTCTTGCTACCTTACCTGGCCTGCAGAGACCGGTGGCAGAGAGGAATCAGTGCTCATGGTCAGGATGCCTGAGGCCCTCATTCATGGCTGGATGCAGTGGTTATGTAGGGAGCGTGATTTTCAGAGTGAATACCATGTAAAGATTGCCCTCTTATGTTAAGCAGTGAGGGAAGAGATGATAAAAATAGACAAATGATAAAGTAAAACTTTCTGCTTTAACTGTAAAGTATACTTTTTAGTGGAATACACCCAAGTTGGGGTGAAACTGTGTGAGAAACAAGAGATGGGATTTGCTTGTGGAGATGTGTACTGGCAAATGAAGTAAAATAAAAGTACAATGGATCAGTGAACAGCAGTCTGATGGTCCCTTAATGGCAAGGTTGTCTGAAGAAAGTGTCCCAATAGCTCTATTGTTTGAAATTATTAAAATTAATGTTAAAAACACAAATTTAAAAAACAACTTGATTTTGTGTATTATTTGATATATTTACATTTGCAAATCTAACACTCCACCATTAGAGCATTGTTACATTTTTAGACTCCAGAGCAAATGCTGTTATATATAACCTTGTAGCCCTGTGATTTGTGTGTGTTGTAAGCAAGATGTAGGTGTTTCAGTGCGGAGCGTGCAAAGATGGGAGGTCATGGATGCAGCTGCAGCAGCAGCAGCGTGGGCAGCCCAAGAGCAAGCATTACTCCAAGCGTACGCTTGAGGGCTCTGAAGACTGTGAGGAGCAGTGCAGAAGCAATTGCAGCTGAAGAATGTATTTTAACTAAAGTGGTGCATTGTACCTGTGCAGGGTTTAATGCTTGCTGGGCTATTTGGCTATTTGCCATAATTGGCTTTCCATTCCCTTGATTGGAATCATAGATAAAAATTTGCTAATCCACTTTCTTTGCTGAAGGTATTAGAAAAGTAATCCATCTCTTAAAAATGCTTGAGCAAAATCGTATGGTATAAAGAATACTTTATGGAATAATGAGATTAATGAGAACTGTAAGACATACGCAGTTTAAAACATTTTTCAATGGTTTTAAGGGGAAAGTCGCAATCTGGGCACTATAAAGCCCTAAGCACTTCCTTTTATTATGCACCGCCTTTTAAATGTGCATTACATGTTATGCTTTTGTCTACATGGTAAAATGTGACGATATATTTAGAAAGAAGGAACTACAATTAATTTGTATTTTTCTTATGTTTGAAAATATCTGACTCAAAGTTCTTGACTGTGTTGTTTCCTCCCTCTTCTCTTGTCTGCCCACAGGGCATCAGAGCACGCATTTTGGAAACCCTTGTAATGCTTATTCTGCTTGCACTGCTTATCCTTGGAATCGTATGGGTGGCTTCAGCACTCATAGACAATGATGCTGCCAGTATGGAATCTCTGTATGGTATGGAATTTGAGAAACTACCACACTAGTTTCGTTTTAATTATGGAAATGGATGCTTTCAATTAAATGTATTTCTAGTAAATGCTATGTGAGTATTGCACAGGTTGTGAAGAAGCTGCCTTAATTTAGTCAATACTGTTTTTTCCTTTAAATCCACTTTCAGCATGCCAAGAAGTTCCATGCTCGTGTGGATGCGGTGTGTGTTAAGAGCAAGTGACTTAAGTGGGATGGAAGTAAAAGCTGAAGATATTTTTCAAGCTAAAGTACTTGGGGATTTACTCGCCTGAAGGATTGTTTATGAGTAATTCTTAGTTTATACTTGAAAATACAGTTGTTTAATCCTGAACGCTTAGGAAAAGAAGTTAATTCAGTTGTGTTTGTGACATAAATAGCCTATTTGTAATGAACTAGGGCTGTACCCAGTATTTTTTTCCTTTACAGACCTCTGGGAATTCTACCTCCCATATTTATATTCCTGTATATCACTGATGGGATGCTTGCTACTTCTGTGTAAGTATTTTCCTTATTATTCCAAGAGATGAGTGATTTTATTTATTTTTTTAACAGATGAAAGGAAAATTAAGATTGTGGAAGTGAAGAGTGTGAAAAATGGGGGCTTTTTTGGTGGTGGCTTTTGGTTTGGGTTTTTATTTTTCATTCATATGTTTAAATTTCACTGTGAATTTGTTAGGTTTGGGTTCTGAAGTTTGTGAACCAGTGCTACCTTACATTTTCAGATTTTTGAGAAACTCCACACCTCACCCAAAATAATTTCAATTTTTAACTGGTTAAAGCAGGCATTTGAAAAATAGGGACTCCTTTCTGCAAAGAAAAGCACAATTTTTAAATGAAGTGTTTGTAGGAGGTCAGTAGTATGGAGAGAGTTACTTTGTAACACTTAGTTTGCCCTATATTCAGTAGACTATCCGTCTTCCTTTTTTAACTGGAAGTGTTTTTGTATAGACAGAAGTTGCAACACAGTGCAATTAGCTTTCATAACCACACAACTGATATCTGGCCAGTCTGGAGGTCAGTTACAGGATTGCATATAAAACAAATGCAGTTAAAAATCAGGCTTGTACCAACTGGTTCCAGCCAGAGTTCAGTCACCCATGTTTAGGGGAATAAGAAAGATGATAGAAGGCTCCAAATCCCACTTACAATTTCTAGAAAATTGCTGAGAGGGGTATAGAACATCTGCTTTTCTAGATTATCATAGTTCTGTCTGTTCTCCAGGCTTTATGGGCTAGCTGTGTAATGATCTCTTGACCTTACAGCGATACCTGTGCTGATCTATTAAATGTGCCTGAGATGTTCTCTAGTGCTGTGGTATTCCATCCATGATGCTGCATTTTTCAGAAGGTGGCTCATGGTGGTGGTTTCTGGTCTGCGTGAACTCCAAAACCGCACCTGGGAATTGCTTGGAAAGGTGTGAACTGGCCCAGGGCACATCACGCCAGGGATATTTCTAGCAATTGACTGGTGTTGACAATCAAGTCTTAATGCCCACAGATGTATCCTGGCACTGCTGAATTTACTCGTGTAGACACAGCCTCTGGTGCCACACGGTTTGCATAAATAATTGAGCAAGTTAAAGATAGCTGATTGTGTGGTGTTCCCTGTTGACGAAAAATTCACAGTTATGCTGTTGAAGGGTAGAGATGCTTGTCTTGTTCAGAATTCATGGTAGTAATATGTTTTAAAGTCCATATTGCTCTTGCAGTTCTCTTCAAAATCATACTTGGTTATTTGCAGAATAGCACATTGAACATCCAAATAAGAATCAGTCTTTGACTTACAAATGACTGTTTTGCATAATCTTTCTTCCCCTGCAGTATGCACGCCAGTGGGACTGTCGCGGATGTTTACAGTAATGGGTCAGTTGCTGGTGAAGCCAACAGTAAGTGTTACACAAACTGTCCTCATGTGCTATCTCTTAGAAGGTAGAATGGCATTTGGGTACTGGCTTTTAGAGTGCTTACAATTCCACATAATTCTCTCTTAAGTTCATCAGTTTCTGTAGTCAATATTTATGTACTTGTTTAAAACTTTTAGTATACCACAGAACTCTTTCTTCCACAGAAAAAGGTTTTTTTAATACTATAGACTTTCTCTAACTTTCCAATTGAAATAACTGCTACTAGTGTTAATATTTATCGCCAGTATTACCTGTTATGTCCTATATTGCTTATTATGTTTTGCAAATGCCTGGAAAGTGTGGGCTTGTTCTGAGTTCAGGAGGAAAGGATACAAGACCAAAATAAGGCTGGATGACAGAAAGGTACCTGAGGGTACACATAGGAGGGTGAAATGTAGGTAATTGGCATCTGTAGGAACTTGTTTGACATAGGGGCTCTGCTGCTGCTCTTGTACTGGATGCTCTGAGGGTAGGAGGAAGTTTGTACCTTGTGCAAGTGCTCTAGTGACTTTGCTGTTGTGTTTCCTGGTTTGAATTTGCTGAAATTTGGGTGTGCTTAGGTCTTGCGTTCATTTTCATTAGTCAATTCAACTCTGAAAATACAAAGAAAATATATAATGTGTTTTTGTCTGTAAGCATTAAACTCAAAGCAGCTGATAATAAGGAAGACAGACTTAAATTATTTGGTTTTAGCTTCCAGTAGCAATTTAGATTTGGTTGAAATCCTGGCCTATATATTAAAAAGTGACTTTTCACACTTTTTCAAAATCTGTAGTTATTTTTGTTTAAATTGAGTGTGAAGGTGCGTAGGTTGTTAACTTGTTCCCTAGAAATTGAGTGATTTTAATAATACATCAGAAGTACTGTCCCTTCCCCTGTTCCTTAAGTCTCTTCAGATTGAAGCTGAACATAAAAGCTTTAACCTGAAATTGAAACTTAACAGAAATAGAAAACTTAACAATAAAGAAACAGATCTGAATAGCATCTTCTGTGGAGTTCTTATTTGTATCCCTATTGTAAACTTGTAGACTATATATTTAAAATGTAGGTTTCTAGAGCAAAACAGACCTGACTAGATGAATACAGTCAGAAAAACAGTTCATGTTTCTGTTTCTAAATACAGATCCTTGAAGACCTGGACGAGCAGATGTATATCATCACTTTAGAGGAAGAAGCAATTCAGAGGAAGCTTAATGGTATGCTTGTTCTGATGCTGATTCAGTTCCAGTATTTAGAGTAGAGTGGTTCTGGTCACCACCATTGATCTCAGTGTTACATAGCCTCATCTCCGAAAATCGAAAATTTTGACATCTTAGTAAGTAAGAAGCATTATAGGCTTACGTTTCATTGCTCACTGTTGCTCAAGATTGGCTCATGTGTGCTTTGGTTTGGTTTTTAATAGGTTCATTAGCTTGAATATGTGAATATTCAGAGACTGAGAAAGCAAACTGAGTTGTTGAACAGGCCCACCACCCTTACTCCAAAATAGTTTGGATTGATAAATGACTGTATTTTAGCTCTATCTGAGGAACAGTGAACTTGTATTATGAGTTTTGTTGGGTTTTTTTTTTTTTTGGAAGATTTGTTCTGTTTCATTTTTTTATATAGAATCTTAATAATTGATTAACAACAGAGCAGTCCTTTTATTCTGGAAGCTATATGGTGAATTTAATAATTTTAATAATTCTATTAATGAATAATTACAATGATTAATTAAAAATGTTTTCACTTCTTGTATTTAGTATTACAATTTTGCACTTCTTGATAAAGTGTTTCTGTTTTGAAGTATTTCAAAAGCAGTAGGAAAAATCGGCTTCTAAGAGTATTGCAGCATGGCAGGCACCAATTATGGAAAATACATCAGTTTCATAAACCTGGAAATCATGTTGCACAAATTCACTTCTGAATTGCTTTTAATTGCATGGATCAGCCATCCATCCCCAATTTATACAATTGCTTCAGGTTGGGAAACCAAAGAATATTCATGTCATGACACATCCATTGTTGTGTTGTCTTGTGATTTATTTTAGCCTTAATTTGCTTAATTTCCTGCCTTTCTCTCTTACTTTTCAGTCTTGTGTCATACATCTCAATCTTTCCTCCTTTCAAGTCTCAGTAAGTCTCCTTTCGAAGTTGTGTGGTCAGGGAAAGTACCTTTGGTAACGTTATATCGTGGTGGTTGTCTTATTTCAGTGTTTAAAATCTGTGGAGGAGTAGTGACTTCTTTGTGCTAAAATCAGCCATGGTTTCAGTTTAAAAGTAACGCTCACCTTTGCAGTTTCGGAAGCTTAGGTTTTTTTATACTGACATGCATATATCTATATATATGCATGCACATGCAGACACGCAAAAAGGTGCATGCAGTGAGTGTCTTTGAAGCTGTGATGGGGTAATTATAATTGTTTTGTGTGCTTGATGTTAGCTAGCAACTGTAGAATATTTGTTACTGAATGCTTTATGTTGTCATGGTGACTGTGCTTATGTACGAGAAAAGCGATACAGAAAAATGAACCAATAGTTTTTCAAGTGCTTCTGAGAAGTAGCGCAGAGTGGTTTCCACTATTCAGGTGGATAATGTGATTATTTAGGTGATGATTGTCTGCTGGTTTTCTGTGTAGTTGTCTATGGAACACTTGCAATTTAGCAATATCACTCATGAAGTGGACCTGATCTGTTTACAGGCATCTATTACTTGAATTTAGGACATAATGTGCAACTGCAACCCACCCGTGTTCCAAAGAGCTCTCGCCAGCACGCTTGTGCAAGATGGAAGATGTGGGGTTTTAATGTCCTTTGGGAGAGGGAAATTAATTTTTGTTTCACATGCTGAGAGAATGGCATTAACACCATAATCCGAAGGAACGTTTAAAAACTCATAGTTTGGTGTGCAGAGAAAATGAATAGGCTTAAGCTGAAAAGTAAGTAAAAATCTAAACTTGGAAATAGCATGTAGGTGGAGGGCAATATGTTATGTGCACAAGAAGATAATCTGCAAGATTTTTGTGAATAAACATAAGTCATTTTACATATGGTTATAATTTCTGTCACAAGCATGGAAAGGTTCATCTTCTCTGCCAGAATTCTTTATAATACATACGAATTATGTCAGAAAAAGAGGTACCAGTTTTACCAGACCTATGAAGACTTATGATGTTTATTGCATTGTTAAAAAATCAGTACAAATGGAGGTATGACGCTAATTACATCAATAAATGTCATGCTTTGATGTCAGAGACTTCACTAACACACAGATTGCGCGAGTATTTTTGTTGCTCTATCAGAGCAGATATGTTGGGCTACACACTTCTTGTGCCATGGCTGGTGCAACTCCTCCACAGTTGTGGTAGTGGAAATACGTGTGCTTAAGTAACCCTGGTAGACAGTTTTGCAGTAAAGCATTCCGAAACATATCCTCCATGTATATGTACAGCCAAAGAGTCGAATTCTTATTAAAGCTCAAGAGGACCAGAGCACAGGTTTGATGATTGTCAATGCTGATTTTTATTTTTCTTGGTAGAATAATTGCTGTCACAGTCCTCGCACTGCTTCACTTGCTCCTAATTCATGTTTCCTCAGGCAATGCCTGGGCATGGGGAGGGTGTAGCAGGAATTGCTGTTCCCACTGAATAGGCTGGGTAAAGCCTCTGTTTTCAGAGGAGGAAAAAAGTTTAGCTGTGAGAGCTAGTGCCCTTCTTCATTCATAGAGATGTAGCCATTATGGCAGTGATGCAATTGATAGAGCATTCTGTAAAGCTCTTCATATTTGAACATAAATCTGACCGTGAAACTGTGTATCTTCTTCACAGAAACTAATTTTCTTCCTTCTCGAATGTCTACAGTGTATAAGTGAAAATTGGAGGAGGAGGGAGGGGAAAGTTTGATCGTGTTATCTACCCTAGTATTTTTATCCATTAAAGAGATACTGGGCTTTGGGAAAATGTTTGTTTCCAGCGTATTATATTTCAGTACCCACATCACTCCTACAGTCGAAGAATAAAGCTGGGACTTTTTTATATTAAAAGAAAAAAGTTGCCTTCAGCTATTAGTTTTCCTGAATCCAAAGCGACGGGTGGGGTAGGATCAAAAATACTTACTTGATCAAAGTTATTGGCTCTGAAGGTATCCTTGCCTATGTAAGAAAGATGAAAGGTGTTGTTTTTATTGCACGCTAGTAACAGTGTAATTTTGAACTAATTGGTGTTGAACTGCCAATCACCTAAGGGGAATGCAAATAGATACTCTTACAATTTCCTTTGAGGTACTGAAATCTTATGTCGGGGCTGGAAGAAAAACAGAATAATACCGTTAAATTGACCTTAAATGAGCTGCTTTGTGGCTTTCTTGGAGAATCCCTTCTAACTTTTCATTGCTAGTCCAAACAAGTCTCGTCTACCAATTTGATTTATTGGCTAGACAGCGCTGACATTGAACTTTGTGCGTTTGAAATAAAGCTAATGTTATAGAGCTTTTATGAATTTAGCTGCATCCTTTTCAAATATGCTTTTGACTGATCTGAAACTTTGCCTTCCCCTCTCATAAAATGTCCTTTTGTATAGCAACCTGTTGTTTGCTGCTATTTTTAAGGAGGAACTACAACGGCACTTAAATATGATTCAGAACCTCTACTGAAGTGTCTCTTAGGGACCTAATGTGGTCACGCTGACTTTGCTGGAAGGGCTCCTGTGGATATCAGTATCTTGAGCTCTGGATTTTTATATTGAGAGGAAGAAACAACATCCATCTTGAAGAAAGCTTTTCCTCAGAAACCCCTAAATTAATTATGAAGAAAATGTCAATGCTAATTAGAGTTTTCTCACTTTTCTAACTGCTTCCATTAAAGTTCTTGAGGCTTTTCCCACTGCCCTCTGTAGCGATCCTTTTGCTCAGCTCATGGTAGTTACTCATTCCATGAATCAGATGTTTTAGACTGCACATAAGCACAAAAGCTTATTTTTGTAACGATAATGAGATTATGTCATTGATATCAAAGAGAAATGTTTAGGCACAGTACAGTGGATGAGAAATTTACCTTCTTATTTTGTACTGAGATTGCTGGATAGATGAGCAGGCAACAGGATCAAAGGTGAGGCTGAGAGTAGGGAATAGCCAGCAGGTGAAAGACGTCAATGTAAATCAAGAAGGAAGGTAATAGAGAAATTAGGGTTTGTTAAGACCTTGAACTGTCACTGCCACAGTGTTTTTGGAGAATGAGATTGGCCTGGAACAGACAGAGAAAAATATGAAACTCTTAACTTATTTTCAGGTGAGATTATTCAGAAATAAAATGGATGCAAGGGAGGCAAAGATGAGAGTGGGGAGTGTTTCTCAGTTTTGCAGTTTGTGATTGCGAAGAGTAAAAGCTACAGTAGAAATAATGAGATCAGAAGTGAAACGGCAGATCTCTAGTCAGTATTTTAGAGCTGTATCATTGCTTGAACACTGTGCAGTGTTACAGAGATACTGGAATTGAGGAGAGAAACCACAGTGTGCTTGTAAGCACAAGTTTCTCTTGTTGAGAAACCACAGAGACTGACCAAATCGAGCAAACTGATACGAGCAGGAGATACGTCAACAGGCAGGTCAGCAGTGTGAAAACTGGGTGTGCTGAGTAAGAAGAACTGGAGGTATGGGAGAAGAGAGGTACAGAAGCTGAAACTGGAGGTCCAGCCACTAGGTTACTTAGTTTGGAGGCAAAGGTCCGCTTTGTCTTTAAGTTGCTAAATAATATTGACTTTAAAGGGTATCCAAAATATCTTTACATCTTGATATATGACTCCTATAGACATACAAGAATGAGGCATTTGAGCTGTCTTGTGTCAGGGTGCCACACTGTAACAGCTTTTTGGACCTGTGTGACAGTTCACCAGGAGCTGTTCTCTTACTTCTTGCAGCAGCTGGACAACAGAATAGCAGGGATCACTGAGTTACACTGCCAAACCTCTCAAGTGTTGAACTCTTCTGCTTAGACAGAATTAGAGGGTTCTTGTCTAAGCCTCTGGTTTCTTGGATTTTTTTTTTGTAAAAGTAGTTGAGCCTCAAAAAACCACCTGCTATTTAAAGCCACAGGTGTTAATGTGATGCTTCCTAAATCTGAATTGTCACAGTGTGTCTTACAGTATTATAGTCAGTCTCTTCCAAAAGAAAATGCTGTCTTCTGTTTTAAAAGGTGTATCTTCCACTGTGGAATACCAGACGGTGGACTTGGAGCGGGAGCTTGAAAAAGTGAAAAGCAAGAAAACCAATCTAGGTAACAATTACTTTCCTACTGTTTTTTATTAGTTGCAGTTTATTAAATGACCTAAAGATGCTGTAGCAGTCACTTGATTGATTCAAGTTGTGTTCTTAACCAGATTTATGTATTTGCAGTCCTTCAGATTGTCATAGTTTCTACAGATGCATCACATGGAGTCATTTTGCACCTCTAAGAAACACATTTAACTAGGGAGTCTGATTTGGATCTTTTTTTTAACATACTCTTAGAGAAATTAAAACACTCTTGACTTTCTGGCATGAAGCTCAATAGCACGATCTTTTCTTATATTATTGATTCATATTCAATGATTTCACATATTAATGATTATTTGGGATAATCAAAGACATTACTGTCCTCTGTTTTTAAATTATTCCTGTAAAGGTCAAATTATGTTTAGGAACAGTAAAATAATTTTTAGCTGGTTTGTCTTTTAAACTGGTAGATGATACTTTTGGTAATGGCAGCCATTCAGCAAGCATCCCCTTCCTTTTTC